TTAGGGTTTAGGGTTTGGGGTTTAGCGTTTGGGTTTTAGGGTTTAGGGTTTGGGGTTTAGAGTTTAGGGTTTGGGGTTTGGGGTTTAGGGTTTGGGTTTTAGGGTTTAGGGTTTGGGTTTTAGGGTTTAAGGTTTGGGGTTTAGGGTTTGGGTTTTAGGGTTTAGGGTTTGGGGTTTGGGGTTTGGGCTTTAGGGTTTAGGGTTTGGGGTTTGGGGTTTCCTTGTTGGGGTCACCTTACTTAGAGGGTCGGGGACTTAGTAAGTGGGCAATACCTAGACTTATAAGTACCCTACAAGGGGTCCTAGTTGGGGTTAGGATACTCATAAGTCTATAATATAACTACTTAATTACTAGGTCCCCCGACCTTCCAAGCAAAGGGCCCTAAGTATAAAGCTGGTTAAACCAAAAACGAACTACAATGGAGACTACTACTGGGTGGTACTCTCCTTCCCTAAACCTCTAAAGGGAACCCTACTAAAAAACACACACACACACTAATCTCTAAGGGAACGCTGCTGTAGACTATAGCTACACCCTAAACAATAAATCCTTCAACCCTGTAAGGAGCCTAGCGGACCTGAAGCCCCCAAAAAGCTGAAAGATCAAGCACGAAGCTGAACTGGAATCAATCTGAGATCAAGGCCGAGAGGAACAGATTCTGAATCATGAGCGCAGGCCTGGTGCAGTTTAGAAGAAGGAGGGTTTAGGGTTTAGGGTTTGTAGTACTATCGTTAGGGTTTAGGGTTGGGGTACGTAGTATTAGAACATATAGCTTATAAGAGGAACCCTGCAGACCCTAAGCCCTAAACCCATAAACCCATGAACCCCTGGACCCCTAAACCCTCAACCCTGAACCCTACCAGCACCCCCCAAGTACCCTTTAATAGGGCCCTTATGGTCCTTAATAGTGGGTATTTAGGGTATAATAGAGGGTAGTTGGGGGGTGCTGGTAGACCCTAAACCCGAAAGCCTAATTACTCTGGATTCGATGTTGGTCTTTGAAGTCTGGCCGGCTTTGGAAGGATGAGCTGCATAAGGATCCACTTAAGGGTTCCTATGAGAAAGAGGGAATCCTTTAAGGGTAGGGTTTAGGGTTTAGGGTTTAGGGTTTAGGGTTTAGGGTTTAGGTACCTTTTTGGGAATCCTTTTTGGCTTCCTTTAAGGGCATCCATAAAAGGGTTCCTTTGAGGGAATCCTTTAAGGGCACCTTTCTGGGAATCCTCTTTGGCTTCAAGGAAACCCAACAAAGGGTTTCTTTGCGGGAATCCTTTAAGGGATCTTTCGGGGATCCTTTGAGGGTTGCTTTACCTCTAAGGGTACCTTTGGCTTAGCATAGAGAACCGGAAGGATCGAGCGCCTGTAAGACCTGGAACTGCCAAGAAGTTCTTACTGACGGTTAGGGTTTAGGGTTTAATGGGCGGGTACCGTGAGGTAAAGGGTACTACATGAGGGTACTCCATATATGGGTACGTTAAACCAACACCCCGAAACCCCGAGCTCAATACCATGACATACCTGTCCAGTATCCCTTGATACTTTCAAGGTTAACCCTCGGAAGTATATTATGGGGACTTATTGCGATGCCCGAAACAGGTTCAAGGTTACCTAAACCCTAAATCCTAAGATCAAGAAACTCGTGACAGGTCGTCTGCTGAGCGCTGCGCACGCCCCAGTGCTCGCGCAGAGCCATGCTGGCCCCACCAAGTCCTGGCACTGAGAAGCCTCTTCGGGTATATGGCATATATGCTTATAGGGTTCCCTAAACCCTAAACCCCAAACCCTAAACCCTAAACCCCCTAAACACGGTTTAGGGTTTTAGGGTTTGGGGTTTAGGGGACCCTTACATGCAGTGCGTTTTATTGGATGACCTATTTTATGCTTAGGATCCTATGATAAGAAACTCAGGCAACCAAAAGAAGGTACTAGATTTAAGGGTCTAGGTATGCTTATAGGGTTTAGGGTTTAGGGATACTTACAGAGTTTAGGTGTAGGCATCTCGGGGTGTATGGCATATATGGGAAGTTCCCTAAACTAGGGTCCTTTTTAGGTTCCTTGTTAGAAGGGTGCCCATATACTTATACTGACACAGGTTTAGGCTTCAGGGTACTAGGTACATGTGTGTAAGGGCTTCGGTTCGCTCGCTGAGGGTCTTCGAGTGCTTTCTGTTTTATGTATCGGACTGAGGTTTATGACATCAGAAACGAAACCCCGCTTTCTTTACCAAGTAGGTAAGTTAGGGTCCTTACGGAGAGGACCGGCAGCTTCCATTGCTACCAGTTTGAGCCTACGATTTTTTGGGCTAGACTCGGGACCAGCCAAAATCCCGAAACCCTCAAGCCCAAGATCAACATTCCTTAAACCCTAAACCCCTAAACCCGTAAACCCAAACCCTAAACCCTAAACCCCTAAAACCCGAAACCCTAAACCTCAGCTTGTTGGGGTTTGGGGTGCGTTGGGTTTAGGGTTTATGGGCTTGTGGCTGAAGGATTCAAGCTTTTGGGGACCTGATCCAAGAAATGCTGCTTATACGGCTCCAAGGGGTTTAGGGTTTAGGGTTTTTTTTGGTTGTAGGGCTTTAGGGTTTAGGGTTTTAGGGTTTAGGTCTTAGGGTTTAGGTTTTAGGGTTTAGGCTTTTAGGGTTTAGGGTTCAACATGACGCTCACCATCCAGCTGCAAGTGCGCCGAGCGCACTCGTGCCAGCCTGGCAGGCAGCAGGGCACTTGCTGGAGGGTCCCAGGCGTTCACGTAGGGCTTGGGGAAGAACGGTCCCAAGGTTCGGACCCTCTGGTGGTATAAACCCTTAGGGAAGCCCTAAATCCTAAACACTCCATCCTAAACCCTAAATCCTAAACCGGGCACTTGCACCTTGAGATGATATGTTTGCTGGACTTGAATCTGGAACCAGCTCAGCGCACACATTGAGTGCAGTGCAGACAGTGGGTGTGCCCAAGTTAGGTCTACTTGCTGCAGCCTTACAAGGCTGAGAAACTCTCAAAGTGCTTTGAGAGGGGGGGGGGCATGAGCCCAAACCCTATGCCCAGGATTTGGGGTTTAGGATTTCCTCTAGTGCCCTGAAAACTCCAGAGAGGAGAAGAGCGGGAATGGCCTGTGCACCACCGAAGCACAGCGCGGCGTAGAGTGAGCCACAGACAAGGCCTTGTCTTTGTAGAACTTACAGGGTTTCAGGGTTCATGGGACATGACAGGTTCTGTGGGCGGTTTACTGGATTATGATCTGGGAAGATCCTTGCAAGATGTTTGCAGACATGTGTGGCTGTCGATTGGTATGTAGGGTCCAACCGACAGCCCTTAAAGTTTAAAGCCTTCCCCAAACCCTAAACCCTAAACCCTAGACCCTGAACCCTGAACGCTAAACCCTAAACCCTAAACGCTGAAGCCTAAACCCTGAAGCCTCCACCCAAACTCTCCCACTGTGCCGAACCCGAGCTCGGCTCCTCTTGAGGCTCTTTCCCAGGCCCGGGAGGGAGCGAAGCTCCCCGGCATCCTCCAGGCATTCGGGGGTCTTCGGGGGGCCTGTCCGCAGTTGTAGGCTTTTGGGCAGGAGGCTTCGAGTTAGATTTCTGGGTGTGGGCGGTTGGGTTTGGGAGTCTGGGTGTTACTGTGGTATGCGACTAACTGTGCTTCATCGATGCAGGCCAAGCGTCGTGCAAAACCTGCTACGATGGACATACTCCGGCAACGTTGGATCCCAAACCCTGAACCTCAAACCGATCGCGATTGAACCGAAGAAGAGCACTCGACCTGTTCTCCGGGTCTCTGCAGCCAGGAGCTCGACATCACTTCTCTAGCGAGAGCTCTCCTGCCTTCGTCAGGTAACTCCCCGGCGTAGGCCAGTTCTGGGCCCAGGTCTCCTTGCTGTCGAAAACGGCTTGTGGCACCAAAAGCCTAGGGCTTTCGACTCTCAGAGGGAACAAGACTCCATCGAGGTGATCGAACTCGTGCTGCGCGATGCGGGCCGGCAGATCCTTGAGGTGCACTTCGCGGGCCTCGCCGTGCTCGTCGATGCCCCTCATGCGGATCTCCCGGGGTCGCTCGACCCAGCCTCGCATCCCTGGAACAGACAGGCAGCCTTCCCACATCCAGCTCGTGTTCTTACTAGACCAAGTGATTTCAGGGTTGATCCAATACTGGAAAGGCACAGGGGGTGCAGCTGCGTAGCGTGGATTTCCGGCCTCGATGCCGAAGCACATGGCGCGAACCCACCATCCAATTTGGGGAGCCGCAATGCCGATACCACCGTAAACACCCATAGCTTCCCGAAGGATCTGCAAGCGAGTTTGTATCTCGTCTCCTTCGACTGCTTCCTGCACTTCTGGCTGGGGCTGCATCAAGTCCGGATCTCCCAAATATCGCAACGGTGGAACCTCAATGCTTTCTGCCGCTGCCTTGAGAGCTGTTCTGCCCCGTCTGCTGCATATCCGGCCTAGAACAGGAACGAAAACACCCAAGCCGCAGTCTATGCCGTGGAAAGTGCCGAACATCCAGGCGCCAGCCAAAAACAACAGAAGTCGCAGCCGCACTTTCAACAAGATCGGGGCATTCGGATGAATCGCCATCCGAGGCCAGGAAGCTGCGCCCAGGCACTGCTGCTCAGCTCAAAGTGACAGGAGATATCAGCTTCGGCCAAACGCTGAGAATTCCCACATCGTTTCGATCAGACTTCACTCGCTACCTCATCTCAGCAGTCTGATGTTTCCCAAAGGCCCGCAAGATTCCGCAACCTGTCCTCAGCAAGCCTTCCGGGCCCGAGCATGCCCTAAAAACACTCCGTCGCCAGAAACCTCCGAAGAAGAGCCCCAAATCCGCAAGGCTTGAAGCCCGTATCATGTCATGGGAAGGGAAGTCCACAAACCGTACTTTGCCCTACAGCCCCGAAACACGCTCGTCCTTGGCGGCTTGAAGACCCGCAGGGGACGCGAGGACGGCGCCAAGAGCTGAGAGGAGGTGTCCTCGAGAGCCGGATTAGGGGTCTATGGGTTCAGGGGCTTAGGGTTTGGGGTTTAGGGCTTAGGGCTTAGGGCTTCGGGACAGAGCTGCTGCAACATCCGAAGCTGCGTTGAAGCCATGCGGCGCAAGGCATCCACCACAGCAGAGGCCGTCTCCTGCTCGTGACTCGAGTTTGATAAAGCTCATCCGGTCCCTCTGAAACCTGCCACCTGCATTGTCTCGCCCAAGAGCCTTTGGAGTTTGGGGGGCCCTTTAACCAGCCCTGCAGCATTCTCAGCCGGGCGAGGTACTTGCAATCCCGTCCAGTACTTACGAGTACCGGGCGCCCTTTCCTTCAAGGTACTGCGGCACTGTAAATCCTAAACCCTAAGCCCTAAACCAAAAGGGTACAACGTGAGTACTACGACTTGCCGCCTCCGCCGTGCCGGGTTGCCGGAGCCAGGCGGGGGAGCCATCCTGCAAAGAAGGGCAGCCAGTTCGGAGGTGTTTCCGGTGCTTTCCTCCAGCTTTCGTGATACGACAGTTGACGTAAAGTTTCGGATTACACACAATCGCACCATGTTCAAGGACCTCACATTACAGTACGTCTGCTGTGTTGCAACGATGCTGGCCTGCGCTCCTAAGGTACATCGTTCTTTTGTTCGACAATGTTTCACCACTCTGAGTGCCCTTGGGAAGTATTGCCTGCAACAAACCCCAAGAACTGCATGCTGCATACTCTTTCATCATAACTCTTAAGACAGGCGATGGTAGGGATTGCGAATATCACAGTATAAGGAGCTCGAGGGAAGAGTACTGGTGACTATTCAGGATTCTGCATATATATATATATATTTTTTTTTCTATTTCTTGGCCTTGACAGGGCGATTCATCAAGGGTCTGTCAGGGCTTTCGCACACTCCGAGGGGCGGCCTCCATGCGGCGCAGCCCAGGCCCCAGTTTTGAAAGCAAGACTGGCGCCCTCCATTAGGGCCTTTGGGGCCTTTAGGGCCGTTAGGGGGTTTAGGAAGTTTATGGGGTTCTGGGTTTAGGGCTGAGGGCTTTCTGGTGAAAACTTCGGTTTGTTCCTGATACTCCTGGCAGCAAGAAGAACGAAAACGACAGTGCTTGCCGTTCTTGCATAATCTGGCATCTGACCGCTGCTGACTGCTGCAGCAGGGCTGGCCGCAGATGAAGCTTCAGGTTCGGTGGTTTTGTTTGGGCGCAAGCATCAACTGCGGCAGACACGGCAGTCTGGAGCCAAGAAACATGTGGAGCGTGTGGCCGGCAGAGACCATTACAGATATCACAGTGAGACTGTGCCACAGAGCTGATCATGGATATGGATTTTCGAGGCAGCGACAGCTGATCCGAAGAAGCATCCACCCCCACTGTTGCTCTTTGGCCTTGCAAGCTTCGCCTTCAAGTCCTCGCACATGCAAGGCCTGCCGGTGTGCCACACTCAAACCTTGCCTTGTCGGTCGAAGCCTTAAGCTGGAATGACCTAGAACTCCAAGTGACTCAGGGCCAGGCTTTTGCGGTCCTGCACCTCGAAAACCGCCCCCTGCGATGGCCGCCATGGGCCTGGTGAACAAATACTTTTACGCGGCCGACTATGGCAACATGCCTTCGCGAAAAGCAGCAGACCTTGCCTCCGCCGCACTGCCATCGCGTCTGTCTGGTACCTCGCCAGCTCCTGCGGTTTGGGCAGCACCCCTACACTTTTCGGACTTTAAGAGCACGAAAACACTGGCAAGCATGGTATATTATGATTGTAGGCTTCAAGAAGGACTTTGGGACAAAACACATAGTTTGGGCTTGGAGGAAAGTGAAGCTGCCTCCAAGCCCAAACTGCTTGTTTTGTCCGACAGCCGAGTAGAGCATGATTGTTATCATGCCCCCCCCCCCCCCCCC